TGAAGGTATGGAAAAGGATAGTATATAAGTAATCACCACCGTCTCTTCACTTTTGAATTTGATTACACTATGACTAAATGTGGGCTAAAAGAGGAGCAAGAGTAAAGGATTGATATGGTTTCCTATTCAGCACGAGCATACTCTCTCTATACTGTTTCTATGGTAAGATAAAAAAAAAAAAAAAAGTGACATATTTCCCTCATCTCATTTTGGAAAAGCTATATCCTACCCTGTTGATTCTTTGGTAAGGGGAAAAAAGTAACATATTTTCCTCATCATTTGGAGAAGGCCACAAGGACACATTACTCTATTATTAACTTGATTATTAGAAACTAATTTTCATAAAACCTTTCCCTCTATTATGTCCTAGGCTACAAACTAATTCCCCCCGATAGCAATAACATATCTACAGTGGAACAACTCCTGTAATCATAGAACTGGAAGAGAATTACATCCAGTTCATCCATCGGTTTACTACTTCCTTTCAAGCCATAACAAATTGGGTACTAAAAAGCAAATGCAAAAATAATAAAATTTCATAATGGTTGAAATAAGCTTCACATAAAGATCCTTTCAAAAAAAAAAAAAAAAAAAAAAAAAAGCTTCACATAAAGAAAATAGTAAAGGAAAAGTTTCTTATTAGTTTATGCAACAAAGTTGCCGTAATGAAGTAACCAAGTAACGCAGAAGAGAGAGGTTTTAAAAATTCAGGCTTTAAACATTGAAGCAAAAAGAATATCACTTGCTTGATGATTTTAATTTTTAAAGATGTTGAGGAAAGGAAGCCTTACCTCAAAGAGTACAGAAAGCATGATAAGATTTCTTGAAATCCTTCTCCAACTTTGAGAACGCCTTGTTATTCTCTCAATAACAGCTGCCTCCTCTTTGGAAATGTGTTGCAGTCTCTTCTCAAAGTCATCTCTACCAGATCTAAATATTGCATTCCATATTCTCGACCAAAGTCCTTTCTTTTTCTTCTTGTTTTCCTTTACTTCAGTTTCTGTAGATGTAGCAGGCACTTTGCTATCTGTATCCCCAGCATCCTTTTTCAACTCCTCCTCCATTTCCTACAAACTACAAATGGAAAATCAAAGCAGGAAATTATTTCTTGATTATCAGTCCTGCACAAGATTCTAAGAGGAGGAGAGGGAATTGAAAGGTAATCAAATACAAAAGTCCACCAATCCAGGTAGAAACTAAAACACAATTGGTCAACACAAATTGGCAGGCAATAAGTTTCCTCACAATTGTGGATAAAAGAAATTCTTTACAACAATTGCAAATGAAATCCAGAGTGATGCAGAAAGGTTTGCTAGCAAACTCGATGTAAAATGCAGACCTTGCAACTGCATACGATAGGGTTAAACATTTCATGGGATTACATATTCCAAAACAAGCATAGGGGCACTGACATGAATCATTTCCACGAACAAACTCCATAAACAAAAATTATTACCATAAATTTAACATCTAACAACATAATCAAATCAACAACAAAAAAGCAAGCAAAACTGAACTTCTACAGCCTACCATATCATCAAAAACACATAAACCAGCTCAACAAACTTATGGGCAACCAAAACTTCGAGAGATCAACAGTGCAATGTAATGATCAGCAATAACCAGAAACCTAGAGAGACCACCAACAGTACAATATAATACTCAACAATCGACGATAGTACAATCAAACCTAATCAAACACAAAATGTAGAGTACCGTTAACCATTCCGAGCTTGAAATCATCATTTCAGCCAAGAGAATTAAAATTAAAATTTAAATTAAATTAAATTAAATTAAATTAAAAAAAAAAAACGCGTGATTATCAATCTGTTCGTGCGTAAATGACTGAATTACGCTCTTCGAGATGGAACAAATGCTTTTACCTGGATCGTGAGGAGAAGATTGCTAGGGTTTTTTGACGAAACAGGAAAATGCGCCGAGACGCCCAGAACCGAGCAGAGATCGATTACGCGTACGTGCAAGCGAGAAGAAATCTGCTTTTTGAGGAATGTGCTATCGCAAAGGGAAGATTTCAAAACTTCGGATTCAAACTTTTAGGCAAATATAGAGATTGGAGCCTTTAATTTTTATCTTTTTTCCCCCAATAGAAAAAGAAAAAAAAAAAAAAAAAAAGGATGATTTTTTTTTTTTAAATAGATAAATGAATTTAAATGAATGAAAGACGGATGGAAGAACCCAAGAAAGACTTTCGTCTCCCTATTAAAGTCAATCGCCTCCCTACCCTACAAAGCATATTTTTGGATTTTAGAATAAATTTCTGTTAAATTTCAAGTTTGGAGGGATTTGTTTAAAAAAAAAAAAAAACTAACTGGGGTAGCATTACTTCAGAACAATCTAGACACAGGCACACAGCTCATACTTTCCCATGACTTAAATAATATTTTTAATATAATTTATAAATATATTAATTTTATATAATAATACTAAATTTAATATTATGTAAATTTGAATTAAAATCAACTTCAGTCAAGCCTTATTAATTGAATCAGACAAACAAAATGAAACGGATAAAGTAAAGAGTGCCAGTATTGTAGAATTTGGAGACAAATGGAACAACTTGTTAGAATTTTTAGCATAAAATGACATTATAAATTGTTATTTTATTGAGCAAATATATGTGGAGTCTACTTTCATATTTAGATGGGGTAAAAATGAATTTGGATTCTTCATAAAAAGACTCAAAAAAATTGATATATTGTATTGGATAAATTAGTGAACGAGAAATTGGTTTTGAAAGTATACCTATTTGAGTTGAAAGATAAAGGTAGAAAGATTTTGAAAAATGAAAAGTACTTGTCTCATATTGGTTTGTGAAGTGGACTTTTAACACTATATATAAGAACTTTTTAAAAAAAAGTTTAAATTGTATAGCATAAAAGTGCTCTTTCGCATTTTTTTTTAAGATAAAGATAATTTCATTACTCCTAGGCATCAGCTAATAAAACGTCCAGAACAAATGATCAAATCATGCACTGTTTTACTCCCTAGACTCTATTGTTCCTCTCATTCCAAATGCTCCAAGCCACTAACAAAGACAAGTAAGAGGAATAGTTGTCTAGTAAGGATATAGTTCTACTAACCCAATCTTGAAGATTTTCACTGCCTGGATCCGGGATACCACTGAGCTCTCCCCAACACTTCTTAGAGAACTTACACTGTATAAAGATATGAGGTACAGATTCCTGATGGGTAGAACACAGATGACAATAAGAATTGACAAAGACTCTTTTGATTGCAAGATTGTCTACTGTGGGAAGAATGTTTAGAAGGGCTTGCCACACAAAAATTTTGAACTTGGGTGGGATAGACAAATTCCAAAGGGTTGGCCATTTGGCCAACCGACATTATGAACATTTGAAACTTCCGACGCAACTTCCTATAGGCGCTCTTCACCAAATAGATACCTTTCTCTTCAGCACACCAGATTAATTTGTCAACATGATTACCAAGAGGTATAAGAATGCTCATAATTCGATCTCTATCAGTCTCCACAAAGATATCATTAATCAACTCCTCATCCCAGTTATTATGATGGGTATTCATCAAGGATTGTACTTAAGTTTCTGCAAGTTGAGCATACATAAGTGTAGACGACTATTGGAAAGCCAGAGATCTTTCCACACATTAATGGACGACAATCCATTGCCCACTCTCCACCTGCTGTTATTTATGATTAAGGATTAAGATTCCAGAATGCTTCTCCAAACAAAAGAGGGACTACCGCCCAGTCTAGCATCATAAAATGACTTAAATTCACAGTTTACCTCTTCCAATAGCTGTTGAGCAAAGACTATAGGAACTCAAAATTAGTCTAGCACAATGCATAATATGGGATACTTACAGAAAAGAAAAGGTGCCAATAGGCCAAATTAAAAACACAATGGCCCTATTTGGTAAAATAGCTGTTAGCTGATAGCTGTTAGTTGTTAACTGATTGTGTTAATTAGAGGGTATAGATAGTTGATAACATTATCTGATTGTAGAAAAGTGTTTGGTAAATTAGCTGTTAGCGGATAGTTGTTTGGTATAATTTTCTTTTCTCAAAAAACTAATTAAAAAAGTTGTTTTGAGTAACTTTTTGAATTTTAGCCTTTTGGAGTTGCAAAAAAACTAATTGACCAAACATTTATACTGATATTTTAACTAACTCAAACAATTAATAGTGGTCAAATAAGCCAAATGTGGCCCTGTTTGGTAAAATAACTAGCCTATTAGTTAATTTTGTCTTATTTGACCACTATTAGCTATTTGACTTGACTAAACAATTAATATGAGTGTTTGATTAATTAATTTTTTATAACAACTTATTACTCCAAAATACTAAAATTCAAAAAGCTGTTCAAAGTAATTTTTTTGATTAGCTTTTTGAGAATGTCATTTTATATGTAATCAGCTAACATCTAACAACTAATTTACCAAACACTTTTCTACAATCATCTAATGCTATCAACTAATCAAACCTACTAACCTAATCAGCAAAAGTCATTTATCAAACACCCCAAGGGGTCAAAAACCAACTGCAGATTTCCTGGTAGCAAAGGGCGTCCTAAATAGTAGTGATTTTTTTGTAGTTTTTGAGGTGTCAATTAAGATAGAGAAGAGGGAGAGAAGAAGGGAAAAACAAAATATGACGCATTATAGAGAGAAAAAAAAAAAAAAAAAAAAAAAGTCTCTTGATGCACCATTTGCACGCGTCCCGCTGGGCAGTGTTTGTGGGCCAAACGTGCACAAAATGGGTCTCTCTTCTTTATTTTTCCCTCTCCTGCTAGTTTCACACAAAACCACTCATTCCCAAGTTTTCTCTTTAATGTAGATGCTCTAAAGTGATAGTTGGTTTTCTTAAGAAAAAAAAAAAAGTTGGCTTGCAACTAATCTAAGTAACCTACTAACCAATAATACTCTGACACGTCTCTAACTGAAACCTTTCTTTTCCTGGTTTGTAATATTATTTACTGGAGTACCAATGAGGGCACCGACTGTAAACATCATCCATCAATAATTAGCTCAGAAATCACATTCACAAACTGGTAGCATTACCCATTAATTGCAATGACCAGAAAGCCCTTCCATCTTGCCCATATTTCTGGCTACTTTGCTCAACACCTGAACTGCAAGTCTGCAAGAGCCAACCAAAAAGATTCCATACCCTATATGAAAGAACTTTTTGTAAGATTTCTTACATTTTCCTCTGTATTTTCTTTAAGAACTCAAGTTCTGATCTTTGATTATATGCAAGCAGAGCTTAGATGGATTTGACTGTTGTTAGAGTTTGAATCTGGGTTAAATTCATTTCTTCTTGTTATTTAATAAGCATTTATCTTTTGAGTCCGTATTAGAGATGGATTGGGGTTTTTTCGAGCATTTGAAGCCTGCTTCTTTGAAACATTTCAACTTTGGCAAGTTGATGACATGGAAGAGCTGTAAGAGTTGGGGGTTTCAGTCATTCAATTTAATCGTTCTGGTTGGCTCGTTCTTCTTGTTTGTTGTAGTTATAGGATCTTGGTTTTTATCCAATTTAGAGTCTTTGCAACCAGTAGTTGTTCTTGGTAATGGGAACAATGAGCCCAGTTTTTCAAATAGTGAATGCAATCTGTTTGATGGAATGTGGGTGCCTGAGGAGAGTTACCCTTTGTACAATGCCTCAGAGTGCCCCTTTGCCGAGGGGGGATTCGATTGTCTTTCTAATGGTAGGGAAGATAATGGGTATTTGAAGTGGAGGTGGAAGCCTAAGAATTGCAAGATTCCTAGGTTTGATGTGGGAATGATCTTGGAGAAGCTCCGGGGGAAAAGGGTTGTGTTTGTTGGGGATTCTTTGAGTAGGACTCAGTGGGAGTCGATGATTTGTATGCTCATGACAGGGGTTGAGGATAAGAAGAGTGTGTATGAAGTTAACGGGAATCAGATCACTAAGCAGATTGGGTATTTAGGGGTTCGGTTTAGCTCCTTTGATTTTACAGTGGAGTTCTATAGGTCAGTTTTCCTTGTACAGCCAGGCCGGGCGCCTAAAGGGGCACCAAAGAGGGTGAAATCATCGTTGAAGCTCGACAAGATGGATGATATGAGTAAAGAGTGGGTAGATTCTGATATTTTGATCTTCAATACTGGGCATTGGTGGACGCCTACAAAGCTTTTTGAAATGTAAGTCATCTAGACATGATCAATTCTCGATTGTATGTTTTACTATATGATTGTAGAGATTTGCTGGGCTTTAAGATAGTTTCTTTGAACAACTTGTAGAGATTAGTGAGTCAGATTATAGTTGTTAGTGTTGAGCATATAATATATAAACATAAATGTGCAGTCCAACTATCAGCTTAGACTTTTAGTTGAGACAGAGCAGATCCTTCAAATTGGTATCAGAGCCGACCCCATGCAAGAGGTCATGGGCACCCGTGAGGGGGCGTGCTGAGCATATAATATATTTCTTATACAAGTATATAGGCTTTATTTCCGATTTCTTATACAACGATATAGACTTTATGGATTTGTCTCTGGAATTCTTCTAACACGCTTGTCCAGACAGGGGCTGCTACTTCCAGATTAGTGGAAGGATGAAACTTGGGATGTCAATTAACAATGCCTTTAGGAAAGCATTATCTACATGGCAATCCTGGGTTGAGAACGAAGTCAACCCAAAGAGGACTCGGGTGTTCTTTCGAACTTTTGAATCCACTCACTGGAGGTGTGTTTATATTTTCTTGTGCGTTCAATTACTTATTAATTTTTGAATATCGATTCCAGTAGTGATGCTTAAAATGTTTGCCAGTTCTGGGATCCGACAAAATTGCAATGTAACACAGCAGCCTTGGTCGGAAACTAGAGGGAGGGAGAAGAGCATATTTTCTGACATCATTATGAATGCGGTGAATAATTTATCGGTTCCTGTAACGCCACTCGATGTTTCGTTCATGGGGGCGTTCCGTGCTGATGCACATGTCGGGACATGGAGCGACAATCCAAAGGTACCGGATTGTAGCCATTGGTGCTTACCCGGTGTGCCCGATGAATGGAATGAACTTCTTTTCGCGTTTCTGTTTTCAGAACAGTGATACCTGTAAGTGACTCTTTGCTACTATTTCTCTTTTGTGTGTGCTTATTCTGTATGATTATATATACCTTCCTCCATTGCCAGGTTTTTGATGATTTCGTCTTTAGCCAAATTGCAGAGGACTTCTCAGAAGTTAGTTTTGTTGCCACATCTGTGTTTCTGCTCCATGGTGTTCTTTCTTACTTTTTTCCACTGGTAATTCTTTTAGATGTCAATACAAGCTAGCTGAGAGAGAGAGAGAGAGAGATTGTGAATGTGTGTATCTAAAACAAATTGTTTCTAATTGAGATTTATTTGTAAGAGCATAATTGCAATCATTATGCCGTGGATCTGTGGACCTTGGTCCTATACGACGTCGGTTTGATATTAGTGTGTATGAAAAGTGAAAGTAAACAACACTGCAATAATGTATATTATCAAAATGAACGTGAAATGTAATTAAAATGATATTTCGACGTTATTATAATGACACTAGTTTGTGTGGAAAATGATACTTTAGTGTTTTTTTTTTTTTTTTTTTTTTTTTTTTTTTCATACTACCCCTATATATACATATATGATCCATCCATATATATGTAATGCGAGAAATTAGTGACCTAAATCAGCCTCAAAGTGTTAATTATGTGGACTACCACTCCATCATTGGGACATGAAGCTAACAACAATGAGAGATCACAAGGACTTGAAACACATTATCAATGGGTTAACTATTTGGTGATCACAAAGCATATAAATTTAAGATGAGAACCACTGATGAAGCTAAGAAGAAAAGGAAGAACCAAAAACCTCAACTTTGGTGGTATTTGAACTATCAACTTCAGGGTAATTAGTAGAAAAAGTTATCAAATATTAAGGAAATGCGTTTGCAGTATATGCGAAAATGTCCTTTACAACATACGCAAATGACTGTTTTTGTACTTAGTAGAAAGTGACTAGAATAGTGAATAGAGGGGCTATGGTTAGAACAATGGCTAGAAAAATCAAGATAAGAGAAAGAGTTCAGTGACAAAAGGGGAAACTACAAAGTCACTAGAAGATCAGAGTCAAGTTTGAGTGATGAAAACAACTCTTTTGAGCATGATGGAGAAACACTCTATCTTCAGCTTAATTGCCAAAGCAATAGAGTGCAACTCTATTGAGTATGGTGAAATACAACAGTGTTTTATGGCAAATAAAGAAAAAAAAAAAAGGCAAACATTCCTGTGAGACCATTTCACAGATCTTTGTCCGTAAGACGGCTCGGGTTAAGATAAAATGTAATACTAATAAGGAATAAAATGTTTATTAGGAAATTGTAATACTTTTGAACAAAAATGTAATACTTTTACATTTTGATTAAATGTATTACATTTGTTCTCAAAAGTATTACATTAATGTAATACATTTTCCCCTATAAATAACAAACACTTGCCAACATTAAGAAAAATGTAATATTTTTGATGAAAAATGCAAAAGTATTACATTTGTCCTCAAAACTATTACATTTTCTAGCTTATAAATAACAACCACTTTATTCTTAATTAGTATTATATTTTCCTATTGACCTGACCCAATTGGTCTCATGGATAAGGTTCCATGAGACGTCTCACACAAGTGTAACTCAAGAAAAAAAAAAGAGGTAACTCCAACTTCATTTAGCTTTATTAATGATATTCCTAAATTAACAGTTAATTATGATGAATCTGTGCGCGTTAACATTAATGAGAGACTTAGAGAACATTAATTAAAGTGGTTCACACTTCACATTCAACTTATTAAGGACAAAAACTAGCAAGCTAAATACTAATCTTTTCTCCTAAAAGGTTGAACCCCCAACTCTAAGGGTCCCACACTTCGACCCCAAGCTAAAGGCTAATCTCGAAGCGATGATAAGTACAATATCAAAGCTTCATAGCATAATCATGGAGAAAGGGAACTTAGAAGATGATAATTACTTGGGACTAACACATACACACACAAACGTAAGATGTATTTTTACAATGGGGACCCTAATATTAGGACTTTTGTATTTTATCAGATATAGAATTTCTACTCCGATCCAATCCAAAAAATATTAGTGTAACGGCCTACTTTTACCCATACTAGCTAGCTATTCTAGGACTATCTCTTGTATTTATCCTTACAAATACATTGTACTTTGTAGATATGATCAATAATAAAACTCTTCCTACAAATTCTTGTACTCATGCCTAATAAGCTTATAACAAGGAAAAGAGAAGTTAATTAAGATTGTGCTAAAAAAAAATGATAGTTGTGGACCAAGTTTGCAAGGTTCAAAAGCCGTGGAACAATCCTGTTAATGTCACAATACTCGTGGGACCAAAAGTGCGAAAAACTTGTTGGAGGATATTAAACACAGCAGCAGAGTCTTTTCCTCTTGATTTAAAACCGAGAATCCATCCCGGAGGATAACCGTGCTTTTTGTAGCACTTGTCCACATTGTGCCCATTCATTCCACAGAAAATACATTTAGCTCCCTTATTTCCATTATTATTCCTCCTTCCATTATAACCATTTAGAGCTGCCACAACTTCATCAGATGATTCTGGGCTGTGTTGGACAGAATTTGCATGGCTAATATCCAGTGTTCCTAGACTTAGATTAGCTAGAATGATCTGTCTTTCCAGTTTTTCGGCCATGCCGAAAACTTTGTATACCTCCGGTAGAGGATCAAGCACAAGAACGCTCGATTTCAGGCTGCGATAGTCATCATTTAGGCCTTGTAGGAATCGCATGACATGATCTGTGTCACGTTCCTTTCTGATTTCATCAATGAGATCACACGAACACCGTGGATCGCATTTGCACTGGGGAAGGGGTCTTAAAGAGTTCATTTCTTCCCATAAGATCCTACACTTGGTGTAGTATTCACTCACAGTTAGATTGTTCTGCCTGAGATTATATATTTCATCTTGTATAGCTGAGATTCTCTGTGCGTCATGCTGCGAGAATCTTCTTCTCAAATCCTCCCAAAATCCTTTGCTTTATCAAGATGCATTACGCTTTGTGCAATAGAGGCGTGCACAGATTTGAATATCCAAGAACAGACAATCAAATTGCACCGCCTCCATGCAGCGTGATGAGGATGCTCCCTACTCGGCGGCGAGACAGTGCCGTCGATCAATCCCCATTTATTTTTAACTTCTAAAGCAATTCTTATTGAAATACACCATGAAGAGTAATTTGAACTGCCTGTTAAAGGAGGACTTACGAGAATGGCGCAAGGATTCTCGTTCGAGCTTAAGAATAGAGGATTCTCCACATCTTCGTGGATCCTTTGCTGCTGATTTGAATTCCTTTGCGGAATTGTTGGAGAAGCTGTGTCAACCGACGATTGCGTGCCTGGAGGACTAGTCTGGACGCCTGGGTTGTCTTCGCCGGAGACGGCGGCAGCATAGGTAAACTGCCGGTGTGGCTCTGATGCCATAATGGAATCTGTTATATGCAGGAGAAGTTACCAAAGAGAGAAACAAAATGATTCATATTGATGTATATCATTTGTTACATCTAGATGAAGAAGAAAGCTCTTTATATAGGAAATGTTTGGAGAGAACAGCTATTATAACAGACTGTTATGAAGAGGAAAAGACTCAACTAATGGACTATTATGAAGATGAGAAGACTTTGATGCTGTGCTTAATGTCATACTGTTATGAAGAGGAAAAGACTTTGCTGCTGTGCGTAATGTCCTCCAACAAAACTCTTCAATCCTATTCTAAACTTTTACTTGTCCAAGACCAATAGTTCCATTCTTGGGCCTAGCTAGTTCATGCTAAAACAATGTTTTTGGATGAATTAGAGTGGCCTAGCTTCTCACTATCAACAATTTATATCATGGACCAAGGTCCGCATAGCATTATGGACTATGATTAAAACGAGGTACAAAATCCATACTAGGTACAGAATTTCATAGCACAAAACACAAAAAATCACAACACAAGACACATAGCATAGCATTATATGAACTCAGTTGGACTTAAAAGACGATGTACATAGTTCATACTCGTAAAGTACAGAATTTCATAACACAATGCAAGACACATGAAAATGATAAAATCATAACACAAGACACATACACATGCATGTTATATATTTACTTATTTTTCAAATCTGATGTAGGTACATAATTTGTGTTCACACAGAACTACATAACATAAGATCGACACAATTACTAATTTAATCTAAGTAGAGAATTCATTCTCATAAAGTACATAATTTCATAACCCAAGACACAAAAAATCATAACACACAATACAAACATATGAACCAAGATCAATAGTGCAGTTGGAACCCTGGTCCATGGTATAAGGATTCACTATCCTTCAAGCAGTTTCTGATGACAGATTCCGTAATGGTTTATGCTTATAAACTTCAGCCTGCAATGACAAACATATTTAACAACCGGAAAAATTAAAGAAGCAATATTTCACGGAAAAGAAAAAACGATAAAACATTATATATATATATATATATATATATATACATTCCTTTGATGGGAAGAAAGAGTTTCCCATGCATTTTTCTTGTCTTTCTCCCATGTTTTAAGTACTTTAATTTGCAGTTACGCTAATTAAGCTCCGTAGCCCTCTATAAATGATATTCCCTCAGCTCCCCTGATGAGTGCTTAAAGATCAGAGATGGAAATTCTAGATCTTCATCATCACCACTGGATCTTATTATTTGGAATCCTTGGTAAATTGTGTGTTTTTAAAAATAATTCTTCTTTATATTCAAACATAATGAAGATAGGTATATCATGGGTTAGGTGATTCTTCTTCCAAGCTACTACTAACAAGTTTCTTGATGTATTTCAGGCAACATTGCATCAATCTTTGTATTTCTTGCACCAATGTAAGAATTAGTGGTTACTATGCTCGTAGCAATGTGATTTTATATATTTGGTGTTGGATATATGTGGTTATTCATGCTACTATATATAACATTGCAGGTCAACATTTATTCAAATTTGGAGAGCCAAATCAACATTGGATTTTCATTCGGTCACATATATTCTCACACTATTTTCTTGCATGCTTTGGGTGTACTATGGTTTCATCAAGAAGAATGCCATTCTTTTGATTTCCATCAACTCAATAGGGATTGTTATGGAGAATATCTATATCCTCATTTTCCTTGTCTTTGCATCAAATCAAGCTAAGGTAATACAATATAATATGAGTTAATTTCACCGGAGGTCTCTTGTCTTTGATGGCAATTTCAAATTTAGTCCCAGACTATCGTTTTTGTCATTTTACATCCCGGACTATCGTTTTTTGGACACTTTGAGTCCTTCTCATGGTTTTTCTATTTTTAGTAAGGGCATTTTTGTCTCTTCATATTTTTCTTTTGTTATTTTTTCGGTTTCAACCAGTTTAATTGGTTTAGAAATTTAGGTAACCTCTGATTTTTAGTAATCATATTCTTCAACCAATTTTTAGTAAAGTCCTAAACCAATTAAACTGGTTAAAATCGGAAAAATAACAAAAAAAAAATATGAAGAGACAAAAACGCCCTTACTAAAAATAGAAAAAAATTATGAGAAGGACTAAAAGTGTCCAAAAAACGATAGTCTGGAATGTAAAATGACAAAAATGATAATTTAGGACTAAATTTGGAATTGTCACTAAAGACAAGGGACCTCCGGTGGAATTAACTCATATAATATCTATATTATTTAAAGTCTTCAATGGATCTTTCTAAAAGTAAAAAATTGAAAAAAATAAAAAAACTGTTAAATTATATTCTTTAATGTTTTTGTGTGTTTTTAACTGTGCAGCGTCACACATTATTGAAGGAATATTTTCTATGCATGGGAGGATTCTCTTTAATTTTTCTGGTCTCATGGTATCTATTCTCCGATGTGGCTCGTGTAAACATTGTTGGATGGATTAATATGGCCATCTCCGTGGCTGCTTTGGCTTCACCCCTTAACATAGTGGTAAGGAGATATACCCGTCTTTCGTAAAATAGTTAGCCTATCAGTTAATTTTGACTACTATTAGGTGTTTGACTTGGTTAGACAATCAATATGAATGTTTGATTAATTAGCTTTTTGTAATAACTTATTGCTCCAAAATGCTAAAATTCAAAAAGCTACTCAAAGTAGTTTATTTTTCAATTAGTTTTTTGAGAAAGTATTTTGTATATAATCAGCCAACAACTAATTTACCAAACACTTTTTTACAACCAACTAATGCTATCAGCTAATCAAACCCATTAACCCAATCAATTAACAGCTATCAGCTAACAGCCATTTACCAAACACCCCGGGGGTGTTTGGTAAATAGCTGATAGTTGTTACCTGATTGAGTTAGTTAGTTTGACTAGTTGATAACATTAGTTGATTGTAGAAAGATGTTAATTTGGTAAATTAGATATTAGCTGATAGCTAATTACATGCAAAATAACTTCCTCAAAAAAACTGATCGAAAAAACTACTTTGAGTAACTTTTTGAATTTTAACGTTTTGGAGCAATAAGCTGTTACAAAAAGCTAATTAATCAAATACTTATGATTTTTTTTAACCAAGTCAAACAGGTAATGATGTTGGTCAAATAAGCCAAAATTAGCTCATTAATTAACAACTATGTTTAAATTTAGGAGGAAAAAAATACCATTTTCCTTTTAAAATTTGTACTATATATAATCTCTTCTATCTAATAATATCAACTTGACTCATTTAAAACTTGATACCAAAATTCAAAACCAAGATCTTGATTTAATGAAAGAATTAACATTCTTCCATTCAAATCACAAGATAGTGGTAATAACTTGTAAAATCTTTTTTTTTTTTTTTTTAATACTAGTGACTTGACTCTGTTATAATGATTGGAGAGCCACGGATCCACGGTTATGCCGCTCGACCACAAGGTCTTTGACACTTGTACAACCTTTTCATTAAACTAACATGGATTCTCAAAATTGCTTTATGTAGCTTCATGTACTTCAAACTAGAAGTGCGGAGTTGCTGCCAATCTACTTCTCCTTCTTCTTCACATTGAGTGAAATTATGTGGTGCAGCTATGGCTTGTTACTGAAGGACTTTTATATCGCGGTAACTAAACTCATCTCGATTAAATCTATTTCTTTTTTATCGAACAACTAATATAGTACTAATTTAAGAATGTTTACCCAAATACGTACAATACAATATATTATATTTTAAAACTTTTTTTTTTTTTTTAATATTTTGAAGATGCCAAACATCTTTGGATTTTTCTTGGGATTCATACAAATTTGGTTGTATGTGATCTACTGGGGACCAAATTCAATTGCACCAGAAAATGAAAATGTGGCTGATGATCACGTAATGGATGCGGAGATGTTAAGGATGCCTGATCAATTGGTGCAAAATGTGGATTCTAGGAGAAGTTTAAGCGATGGTGAGACTGAAACGAACTCGGAGGCTAATTGAATTGATACACTTTAAAAGAGAATTATATGATGGGAGGATAATTGTATCGACTCTCATCATGCAATAAAGTTATTGGTGTTTACTATCATTCTCAAGTTCGTATGTATCAGAAATTATCATCAAAATATTAAGAATTATTTCTTCTTGCTAGCTTTATTCTTATTGTTATTTATCTTAGAGCTATACATGCTTATAGTGTGTAACTTAAGGAATTTGCACCTACTTAAAAAATGTCTATCGATATTGATAGCGTCATGGGACCCCGGGACATTATTGTTATTTATCTTAAAGCTATACGTGCTTATAGTGTGTAACCTAAAGAATTTGCGCCTACTTAAAAAGTGTCTATTGATACTGATGGCGCCATGGGAGCCCGAGACCTAGTTTTATTGATAGAGCCTTGGCCCAAGGGGATGGTGAAGGAAGAAGGTTGACCCAAGTCTGGTTGTTATATCGTTGACCATGCTGTGTGGATCATGGTCCAAAAACGGCGCCGTTTCTTTAAGTAAAGAAACAACAACCGTTAAATTTTAACAAATCCTGTATTTTTTGTGTATGTGTTCAAAACAAAATTGAACTACAATGTATCTAAAATGAAACTAATAACTTGTCATGCATATTGTGTTTATATTATCAATTGAAATTGTAATTGAATTGAAATGATACTTTAGTTGTGTTGAAATAAAATTGCAGTATGTATAAAATCAAACTGAATAACAGGTCTCACATATTGAGTGTACATTGTCAAATAAAACTGTAGTTGAATTGAAATGATACTTTAGTTTTGCTGAAATGACACTACAGTATGTATAAAAAGAAACTGAATAACATGTCTCACATAGGGGTGGGCAATTCGGTTCGGTTTATTCGAACCGAACCGATTCGATCCGAACTAATAATAGAAAACCTAACGGTGCGGGATTCTGGTAAACCGAACGGTTCGGTGCTGAGGCGAGCCGAACCCGAACGGTTTAACAAAAACCAAACCGAACTGAATACTATATGATTTTTTTAGGGAAGCGAATCAGGTAGCCGACGCCCTTGCGGCGGAGGGACTAGCTGTAGGCTCGCCCGCGATTTTTAGTTCCTTTACAGCTTTCCCTTTCAAAGCTAAACTGGATCTTTTGTATGACTTTAGGGGGTTTGCTACCCTTCGGGCTATTAGCCTTTACTAAATTCCTTTTGATTAAAAAAAAAAAAAGAAGTAAATCCAAGTCCCTTGATGCATGCTCTGCCGTTCAGTTCCTATTCTCACTGGTATCTCCTTTAAATTTTTTATTTGATTTCTTTATAGCTTGTTTTATACTTTGCACTTTTGTTGTTTGTCGCAATTGTTCTTTACCTCACAATTATATCTAACTTGAGTTATATTTACAATATTCAGTATTTTCCTTTGTTTCATGTTTCTATACTGATGCTTGGTAATTAGTACTTAGTATTGTGTTTGAACTTTGGATTGCTTTTCATTATATAATGTTTAGAGTTTGGATTTGGATTATGTGATTATGTGAATATGTATTGTTTGGTAGTATGTTCGAAAAATTAGGAAATGTTTAAATTTGGGGATCTTAAACCGAACCGAATTAAATCCGAACCGAAATCGAACCGTTTCAAACCGAACCGCACTCTAATGTTAAACCGAATGGTTTTCTTTTTTTTTTTTTAAAACCGAAACTGAAAAAAACCGAACCGAAGACCGAAACGCTCACCCCTAGTCTTAAATATTGAGTTATATTGTCAAATAAACTGTAGTTATATCAAAATGATACTTTAGTTATGTTGTGATGAAACTGCATAACAGTTTCACATATTTGAGTGTATATTGTCCAATGAAATCATAGTTGAATTAGAATTATAATTTATTGGTGTTGTAATAAGACTACAGTGTGTATAAAATGAAATTCAATAATATGTCTCACTGTAATAAGACTATTGTATGTATAATGTCGAATGAAACTGTAGTTGAAACAAAATGAAACTTTAGTTCTGCTGAAATGAAATTAAATTACAATGTATATAAAATGAAACTGAATATGTTATACAAACGGAACTAATTACGTGAAACGAGTACGTTTCTTTTCGCTAAAAGAAACGACATAGTATAATTTGCCACCCAAGTCTTATTGGGCCAGGAAGACAAGGGTCATGATAGCCCATGAGAATGAATGATGAGGAAGCAAGGTATAACCAAAAAAGTCATCGGGGCGGTCACGACGTCGGGGTTGATGAAGGTAGTGGCACACTGTACACGAAAATTTATTCACATAGCATTATAGATCCTGTATTGAAACAACAAGGTACAAAATTTATACTTGTAAGGTACAAAATTTCATAACACAAAACACAAAAAATCACAACACAAAAAACACAAAAAATCACAACACAAGACACATAGCATAGCTTTATGGCAAATTATGTTGTGCATCCGTGTGCACCATGCATGGTGCATACGGATGCAAAAACGACGCCGTTTTATTAAAAACGCGCGTCCCACATAAAAAAAAAAATTCAGTTTCAATTCCCAGCAACAGCATTATGTTGTGCATAATTTGAACTATATATCAAGAATCAATGAACTAAAAATTCAGAATCTATGAACCAAAAATACAGAATAAATGAACTAAAAATACAGAATGAATGAACTAGAAATACAGGATGAATGAACTAGAAATACAGGATGAATGAACTAAAAATACAGAATGAATGAACTAAAAATCCATAATGAATGAACTAAATATCCATAATGAATGAACTAAATATCCAACATGAATGAAAAAAAAAATCAGTTTCGATTTACGTCTAAATATCCAAAATTAATGAACTAAAAATCCAGAATCAATGAACTAAAAATCCAGAATCAATGAACTAAAAATCCAGAATCAGTGAACTAAAAATCCAGAATGGATGAACAACATAATGCTGTTGAGGGGAATCGAAACTGTTTTTTTTTTTTTTTTTTTTTAAGTGGGACGCACGTTTTTAGTCAAAACAACGTCGTTTTTGCATCCTTGTGCACCATGCATGGTGCACACGGATGCACAACATAACGATCCCAGCTTTATGGACCCAACTGGATTAAAAAGACGAAGTACAAAATTCATACCCGTTAGGTACAAAATTTCATAACACAAGACACAAAAAATCATAACACAACACACATACACATGTTATATATTTACTTATTTTTCAAATATGATTTAGATACATAATTTGTGTTCATAGGCACAGAATTTCATAATACAACACACATAAATTCATAACATAAGATCGACACAATTACTAATAGGTACAAACCAATTCATACTCTTACAGGGCGTTTGGTTGGAGATGGGGAATTACGTGGGAAAGGAATTGCAATTCCATAGGAGATGAATTACTGTGAATAAAGTGGGAATTTAAATTCCAGCGTTTGGTTTACAGGAATAGAATTGTTGAGAATTTCAATTCCAATGTTTGGTATACATGGGAATTGAAAGGGAATAAGTAGTATAAAGTCAAAAATGTCCATTGTTGTTGTTAGGCATTAATTTTAGGTTAAAAAAGGAAGGGGTAATTTTGACTCATCACTATCTTTTTTTCTTCCTAAAATCCCAGGAATTAAAATCACAGGGGGGACATGGGATTTTAATTCCATGAAAATGGGAGAATTGCAATTCCAATTCCTTTCAACAAAACAAGGAAATTTTGTAGCCTTTGGAATTAGGTGGGAATTAAGTGGGAAGGGAATTTAAATTCCCTTCAACCAAACGTCCTGTTAAGGTATAGAATTTTATAATGCAAGACACAAAAGTCACAACACAAAACACATGAACCAGGATTCATGGTGCAGTGTGAACCTGGTATAGAATAAAATAGTTGAGGTAGTGCTACCAAAGGGTATGCCAATTCATGAATGGTTCTTCTATCGTATAAAAAGGGGTGCCCTGCCTCCATTAGGACATTTGCGTCTGAGCATAACAACACTCTTTGTTTAGTAGATGGCTTGTGGTCCTAACCTTCGACTACTCTTTGTGAAAGTGTTTACTATTTCTGTTCTTTGTACTACCACGGCTATTTTCCACCACCTATTCAGTATTTATGGTGCACTCAATTTCGATAAATCCGATTTATGGTGCATTCGATCCTGACAAAACAATCACATATGATCTGTACTAGAATCGTATCAATTGTTATTTTCATTTAATCCACCCTCAAAAGTATCAAATATCTTCATTTTTTTTTTTTCACAACACAAAAATCAAAAAGTGAAAAAAAAAAAAAAAAACAAATTAAAGCAAAGACTGTGAGAAAAATCAGGTCACATGCTTTCCATAAGCTATCCCGACCCAAGTTACCCAAAGTTAGCATGTATTCCATACGTTCATAACATCTCCTCCAACAAGGCAAATAACATTGAATAGGCCGGCCACATGTTAGTTTAGTGGCAAATTATATTATGAACATGAATAAATATACATTTTTAATATAACGAATGTACATTATTTGTGTTCGATCTGAAAGTTCATTATTTTAGTAGTATAGAAATTCAATACTTAAATAATGTACTTTTTTAAAAGAAAGACTTTTAGTATATTAAATATTAAAAATATACAGACCAACGGCCATGGTATAATGATTAATATTTAGAGGAGAAACTCAACTTCAAACCACAACTAGAGGTTAGTAGGTTACAAAGTAATTTATGTCAAATTGTTACAAGTCCCAAAGTCGTATACTTGTTGAATAATGCGACATCAACTATTATATGATAGAGCTATAGGGATAAAAAAATTACAAAAATTCTACACCTGATGTTGCAATATAATTTATTTATTTATTAATTACTCTAAATTGACCAACCTCACATCGTAATACAAACATAAAAAAGGTTCAAATTAGTCATCAAATTATGCACAAAAGCGTAATTGAGACATCCAACTCAAAAAAGTACAAAAAAGTAAATGGAAAATATTCCACATAAAACATTGGCATAACACATTCTATTAGGAACAAGTAGTGTATTTATTTTTTGATGATACCAATCTTGCTAGGATCGTAGAGCCCTATTTTTTGATTTCTTCATCTTAGAAGTTTCGTGTTAAACGAAAACAGTAGCAACTCACCATGTGATTCGGTTAAGTAGATACATACACAAATCCGAGTTGTGTTTACTAGTTTAGGTCTACGAAAATAAGTGAAGAAGAAGAGAAGACCAAGAGAACAACACAGACCGAAAGATGGAAGGGTCTAGCTCACTCGTGTAAAATGATAAGAAAAGTAATCTTATCATTAAAGACAACGAAAGATAAAGGCAATCTCTCGTGTGACACTTCTGTGACAAATTAAGTCTAAGTCAGACTTAAAAAGACAAATTTAATACATGAGCAAAGGAAATGTTGTCTATGTCTCTCAGTGGGCAATCATCCTAGACAAAAGAATTCCTAGGAATGATATTAACAAAATCAAGGAGCATTAAATGATTAGTACTTGTTGTCAGAAGAAAATTAAAGGACAAAAGCCACAATGCTTTTGGACTTCAACGGCTATACAGTACAACCGCAATAAATGCTCCATGCCCAATGCTAAATACACGCTGGTTAATAGGTTCGAAAATTCATCTCCCTCCAACAGATGAATTTCGAACTCATCTCCCTCCAACAGATGAATTTCTCCTCACCTATAAATACCTCTCTTCACCACTGAAGAAGGTGCTGGTTGTTCAACTGATTTTATCTAAGAAAAGCTCTTCAAACAAGTTCATCTACAAGCTTTTCAAAACCAGTGTGTGTGATTGTGAAGTTTTCAAAGAAGTTCATCCAGATTTAGTCTTCACAATCAAGGAAGTCCTGCATCTTTATAAAAAGATTCATCCGACCATCAAGTCAAGACTTCAAGCAGTTGGAGGAACACATTAAATTCATCCAACACTCAACTCTGAAGAAGAAGTTGATAGAGGCGGAGTAAACTCTAGGAGTTGAAAAACCTTTCTAGTAGCTGTCCGACTTAGTGATCAAGGAAGCTAGCTTGAGTAGTTTGTACTAAGAGCGATAGTGCAAACCCTTTCACGAGTTGTGAAAGAAGAGTGGAGTAGGCTTTGTTAATAGCCGAACCACTATAAAAATCTCTCTCTCCATCTCTCTTTACTTTCGTGCATTGACTCATCTGGCATTGCATGCATATCGGCTACACATTAAACTTTCATATCAAAACCGTGCAAAGTTCAAACTAAAACGTAAACATAATTTCCGCTGTGCATAACCCCGAAAGGAATTAAAACTGAAAAATCGATTAGAGTCTATTCACCCCCTTCTAGACTCCCTTTCGACCCTACCGGGACCAACACATTCAAAATCAATTAATCAATTAATTACATTTATTTCAAATAAATGGAAAATATTCCACATAAAACATTGGGATAACAAATGCATACTGTAAAATATACTAAATATTCACTAAACTCCATACAAATGTTATTCCCTTTAATGAGTAGCCTCTGAGTTTGTTTCAATATCACCGCCACTCGAATTTCTCCCAGAATTTACGGAGTTCACCATCCCTAGCATCTGTATGTTCATTACATGCTCGGGCACATATTCATTTTCTTCTATAATTGGATTTGGCTCCCAGTACATCACATATAGCAAACTTTGTATGAATCCCAACAAAAATGCAAAGATGCTTATCAACTACAAAAAAAAAAAGGTACCATATATATAAAATCTTGTACAAGTAGATAAATATTCTTAAATTTGTACTATATTATTTGAAGTGTGTTGTTGGATCGATAAAAGAAAACATTTAATCAAGGTGAATTTAGTTACCACGATGCACATATCCCTCAACATGAAACCAAAGCCAAGCCACATGATTGCACTCAATGCGAGGAAGAAAGACATGTAGATTTTCAAGAACTCCACACTCCTAATTATAAGTACATCAAGCTGCATAAAACAATTTTGAGATAGAATTCATGTTAGTTTAATTAAAAAAAAATGTTGGTGAAATTATTATTACACCCCTAGTTTGTTATTTAATTATATGTTCTTACCACTATGTTAATAGGTGAAGCAAAAACTGCAATAGAGGCTGCCACACTCATCCATCCAACAAAGCTAACACGAATTTCATCGGGGAGTAGAAACCATGAGACCGCGAAAATTAAATAGAATCCTCCCATGCATAGAAATAACTCCTTCAATGTTTGACACTATACAAATAAAAAAAAACAAACACAAGAACAAGAATTTAACAATTTTATTTAATTATTTTTCACCTTTCTAATGAAGAATAAAAAACAATACTTTGTATTACCCTAGCTTGATTTGTTGCAAAGATAAGAAAAATGAGAATATAGGTAGTCTCAGCAGCAACTCCTATTGAGCTGATGAAGATGAGAAGAGTGGCATTCTCCTTGATGAAACCATAGTACATCCAAAGGTTGCAAGAAAGTAGTGTTAGATTATAAGGTAGAGAATCAAAACCCACGGTTGATCTGGCTATGTAGATTTCAATAAATGTCGACCTGTAAAATTATAATAGTACAGTGTGAATGAATAACATTTATCTGACAACACATATAATCACATTGCCAAGAGCATATATAGTAGTAATAGATTCTTACACGGGTCCAAGGAATACAAATCCTGATAAGATGTTCCCTGGAACACCATACAAATAAATCACTAATACAGTAACTAGAAACATGTTGGAACATAAAGAACAGGAAAACAAAAAACAGCTTACCAAGGATTCCAAAAACTGAGAGCCAAAGATGATGATGGAGATCTACAAGAATTGCCATTAAACTCAGATACTTAGCTTCTTTCCCTTCTCACCTAATTCTGTCACAAACTGGATCTAATTCCTCATTCACTAATTAGGGAATGAAGGATATATTTTATAGATGTAAGTTTACTAAAGTATATAAAACTGGGAAAAGGCCGGGCGGCCAGGAAACAGAAGGCATGCAACGTGATCAAACGCATATATATATTTGTGGTGATGAAAGGATGGCTTTATTTATCATCTTTTCCCAAAATTAATTTGTTCTTTAATTTTTCCGTTTCATTTGTTAAAACCTCTCAACAACGTGATCTTTAAGCTTTGTTTTGCTTGCTAGCTAACACCGCGTGAGAAAACCTCTCAACAACGTGACATTCTGACGTAAATAAGGTGTTTACATTCTAAATTTAGCTTAGCTTAGCTTTATTCTAACAGTGTTAAATTAGTTTAGTGTTTAGTGTTTACGTAGATGAAAGGAGGTGTATGATGTACCTTCACCGCTGCAGCAAATTCTATAGGTGGACTACACTTGTAACGTAACACTGCATGAGAAACTCACGTCGCCTATGATCGTACAATTCAAGTGCTACTGAAATGCTTGCTTATTCAATATTAGGTTGAGTATAGTACGTAATTGTACCAATGAGGATTAGTAATTAGTACTTAAAAATTATTAATAAGCCTGCTTGAGCAATCCTTTATTTTGTTTCCTTTCAAAACTTGGGTGTTTAAACTTAATTAGTACGGAGCTCAGTAATGCACTTCCCGAGCATAATACACTTCGTGACTATAACACACCATAACATACTTCCCGAGCATAGTGACAGACTTTCGGGTCTCCTAGTGTCCCTCCACTTGGGACTCTCAGTTCGTAAACCGAGCACTAAAAGGGGAAATCGCCCCATTCAAATAATTTTCGATTTTCAAAACACATCATAGTGATTAATGTGGTAATCAAAACTAACCAAAGACGATCGGCTAAGAACGATCATGTAACCAAGTAATCTGAGTCAGGGTTTGACCGAACTCAAACCAACTACGACCAATTAGCCCGAGTAGGGGCATTAAGAGAAGCGCTCCCGCTTATGATCGGTAAGATCAGTAAAAGGTCCCTGAACCGTAGATAGATCCAACCTCTCGAGTGGCAAAACTTGATCACTAGATATCGCTAAAAATCCAATCCCTTGATTGGTAAAATTGGATCTCTAGATCGCAATTAACTCGACCCCCGAGTCATTGGATCTAGCAAATATGAGTGATGGTGAGTGTACGGGTGTGAAATGTCGTCCTCAGGGGATTGTGGGCTATGACACGTAACACGCTATCACAAGCAACTAGACACTAGCACTAAACAATCAACAAGAAGCTAAGCAAACCATAACAAGTTTGAGACTACGTTAACTAAACAAAGTAATACAAACACATATTAACAAGATATAAACATGAAACAAATAAATAGGACTCAAGCTAGGGAGCATTATCATCTAGATACTTCAACAACCTATGGATTAGGGAGAACAAAGAACCAAGGAATCAAGTAGGAATGCACGTAGGTATCCTAGTCTACGAACCACTCTCGTGATTAACAAACAAGGATTAGAACAAGAAATTGTCCCACTCTCGTGACGTATCAATTCCTAGTACATCAAGCACACAAAGAATCTAAACCCCACAATTTCTCCTATTTTCATATGAACAAATCGAGTTTATGCAAGAGGTGGCTAAAATCATTGACCCAATTCTCATTGTATATAGCCAATAATTCTCCAAATACATGCCAATGAATGTCATGTGTACATCAAACATTAACAAGATATAAACACAATACCCTCATAAACACATGAACCCAGGTTAGAGTTCTTTCCCTTTTTACAATAAACACAAATCAAGCATCAAGATAGATAATACAACCCTAACTCAAGTCCATAAACTAACTACTCATGATTAAATAGCATAAAGAACACAAAAATACAAGTAATAAACATAAATCTTGCAAAATAAAGAGATAAAAGGAAGGATAACTTATATATCGAAAATGGAAGAACAATCTTGAAATGTTGGAATCCAAGCTTCAAATCCAAGATTACAAGCTTCCAAAATGTTATAGAACCTAAATCTAAGCATAATCTAACCTAAAAATATGAAGGGAAGTGAATGAGAGTGTCTAGGGTTCTAACAAGAGTCAAAACCAAGTTGAAAAGGCTAAAATCGGGCTTAAATAATTGCAGAGCAGAGGTGACATGGCCAGGTCCAAAATGGGCAGTGGCTACTGGAATTGCACAGAAAATACAGGGCAACAAACACGACCGTGTCGTTTGACCTCCAAAACTTTTGAATTTGGATTTATAGTCTTCACCAAAGTTGTATCCCTTCGAGTCTTCTTTCCAATGGCGCAAAACTCACTTTATTTGGACACTCTCAGGCTGAGATATGATCAAAACACCAAACACTGGTTGGTTTTGGACGGTAAGTTTGGAACTTCAACATCAAGGACGATTTTGACCACTGTGGCTTTCTTTTTAGGCTGTGATGTCTGTATAAGTGTTGTAGCCCTTTGAGTCTTATTTTCAATGGAACAAGAATCACTTAGTTTGGATACTTCTAGACCGAGATATGGTCCAAATACCGAATAGTGGTTGAAATGAGCGAAAATTGCAATGCATTGATATTTATCTCCTCTTTTGTTTTGGTTTGCCCAAAATGACCATGACCATTGAAAACACCATTCTTAGGCTCCCTTGGAAGTGTTGCATCCATCTCCATAACTTTCCTTGGCTCCCATGGAATTCTAATGCATCCAAAACGCTCCATTTGACTCCAATGTCCACCATAATGCATAAAAATATTCATCTTTGCTTCCAAAGCTTTCCAAACCAAACTCCTTGCAAAATAACACAATTTAGTCCCTAATCTCATGAAATTGTGAATGATCTATATGCAAAATGGCTTAGTGAAAAGGGGTAAAATATATACAAATAAGCACTTATCGGTCACAGCTAATAATCAGATTGCTAGATTGGTAAAATTCAATTTCTCAAATTGTGTTGCAAATCCGGTCCCGAGATCGGTAAAAATTCAGACAACCCCTTATGGTCCAAAAGATTGTATTTATGGTTGTGCTCTTTTTCGCTTATCTAAGTTTTTTCCCATTAGATTTTTCTTAGTCTAATGTTTTTAACGAGACAACCGGCATAAGTCACGGACTGTATACACAGGGATTTTCCAGCCCAAAGCCTCCTTCTCATTAGCTCAACGTCAGGGCTCGGGCTGATACTTGATAGAAAATATGCCCCGAGTTTGACCTCCCTATACGTTCTATGCTCTTGTTTTATAGTCGGATCTGGATCAAATAGCTCAGGTCAAAATCCACCCGCCAATGCGTTGGGCCTATATAAAGGCCATGATACACACAAGTATGGGGGCTTAGCTTCTTTCAATTGGCTCTCTCTCTAGAAAATACTTACATAATTCATCTCTTCTCCTCTACTCTCTACTTTCTCTGATCTACAAAAATGCAAGAATAACATCAATGAATAAAAACGAGCCTTTTTGAGCTAAATTCTCACATCTACCCTCTATGCATGTCTACATACTTTATACACATCAACACGTCCAGCAAGCAATTTACACTATCAAGTACGGTTATATTTTATTACCACTATGCTAATTGATGAAGCAAAACTAGTAATTGAGGCTGCCACACTAATCCATCCAACAAAGCTAACACGAATTTCACTACTTGAGAATAGAAACCATAAGACCATGAAAATTACATAGAATTCTCCAATACATATAAACAATTCTGCAATTCTTTCATTGTTTGGCACTGCACCAAAAAAAAAAAATCACACACACACACACAAACAAGAATTTAACAATTTTATTCAATTTTTGGCTTTTAAAAAGTTCTAATTTAGAATAAAGAATAATATTATATTTTGTATTACCCTGCTTGATTTGTTGCAAAGCCAAGAAAAATGAGGATATAGGTAGCCTCAGCAACAACTCATATTGAGCTAATGATGATGAGAAGAGTGACGTTCTCCTTAATGAAACCGTAGTACATCCAAAGCTTGCAAGAAAGTAGTGCAGAATATACGGCAAAGAATCAAAGTCGATTGTTGATCTGGCTCTATACATTTCAATAAATTTAATGTTGACTTGAAAATATTATAATAACATGAATAACATTGGATAACTCATATAATCACATTGCCATGAGCATAGTAATCATTAGTTCTTACACTGGTGCAAGGAATACAAATACTGATAAGATGTTGCCTACCTGAACACCATGCAAATAAATCATTAATTCAGCAAGAAACATATTAGTGATATACATAACATAACTGACGTTAATAAGGTGTTTGCTTTCACCGCGCTGCAAATGAAGCTGGCGTGCAATTCAAGTGCGCTACTGAGTGAAATCCTAGCTAGCTTATTCTATTTTATGCTCAATAATTAGGTTACGTAGCTTATCATATTTTCCCTAAATAATTAATTTGTTGTTTTTCCGTTTAGTGATGATTAAGCTTTGCTGAATTGCTAGCTTGTTAATACCGTACCACGTGAGAAAACGCATCGATCATATTGGCTATACATACATACTGACGTTAAGGTGTTTAATTACATTCTAATTAAATTTAGCTTAGCTTTATTAACATATTAAAATGGGGAAAAGGCCGGCCGGGAAACACAAGGCATGCAAATGCATAATGGTGAGCTATATATATAACCATGAAACTATATATGGCTTTTAATTTATTTATCATCTTTAATTTTCCGTAAATTAATTTGTTGTTATAACCTCTCAACAACTTCAATTCACCACTGCAAATTATTATAGGTGGACACTTCTAACACTGCATTAGTAGCTGGCCGGGTTGGCGTGCAATTCAAGTGCATGCGCTACTCAAATCCTACCTAGCTTATTCAATATAAATATTATAGGCCACCGTTTATTCAATCAGCACTTTTAATTTGTAGACTTTTAAAATGATAAATTTTAATAAACATTTA